TTAAACGGAACAATCTGGACAAAACCATTCATTATAATTATCAGGGAACCTTTTAACATATGTAGTGTCACAGTAGTGATTGAATTGAATAGCGAGAAGTGCAGATTTTTTATGATCAGACAGCATGGATATGTTGGTCTACACTAGTCCCCTTGGTAGATTTATCTTTGTACTGGTCACCTGAGGAGATTTATCTTGGTCACCTGGGTAGATTTATTTTGGTCACCTGGGTAGATTTATTTTGGTCACCTGGGTAGATTTATTTTGGTCACCTGGGTAGATGCAGACTTGAGGTTAATACATTCACTTGTCAGGTTAATACATTCGATTTTTCTTGTCTGATCCGACTTCAGATTTCGATACAAGTTAATACTGCTCTCTTTGGATAATATATCTATACCTGCACACTTATGTTGCAAGGAATTGAGGGCTGAAATCTTGTTGCTATAGCTCTTCAGCCGTCAGGTTTTTTTTGTAAGGGGTGGAGAAGATTCACTAAGGGATAGTTCACATAGTTATAAGAGAAAATTAAATGCTGCACATAAAAATGTAAAACTTCGGATATATTGCCCATTTGATTTTTCATACTGTATTTATTATTGTCCAGAGCATAAATTGAAAAATTACTGAAGGTACATCAGCTTCACAAATGGATAGGTACACTGTACACTTTTTGAGTTAGCTGTTGTAATTAATTTTTCATACTTAATTTTTGTCTAGACTGTTTCGTCAAGACAAAATCATGTATCACAGAAAATCTCATAATATCCGTATGACAAGGTAATGGCACTATTTGTTGACCCACCATTAAAGCATTGTAACATGATATCTTGGCCAGGACAAAACTGTTGTGGTTCTCAAAACTGCAAAAACCTGTTCTGTACATCATTAAAACCAATTTAGAAAATTTCATTTATAAAAAAAACTGATAATGGAGTGTATCTAAATGGAAGTTGGAGAAGTCAATTCATGAACAAGTTTGGGGCTTATTAAACAAGAGCTGTCCGTAAGACAACGCGCTGTATTTTATTGCTTGCCAATAAAAAAAGTTTTTGCAGTAAAAGGCAATACAAGAATCTCTGTATTTTTAAAGTGAACAATGGCCATGAGCATTAAGATATTTGTGAAGAATTTATTTTATTATGACATAATTTATGGTAAAGTGAACAAGTGGATAGGAATGAATTTTTTTAGATTTTTTAAGTTTTTTAGTGCTTGCCTATAATACAAAACATTGACAGTTAAGGGCCATAATTCAAATAAAATCTTTGACAGAATTACCTTCTCCTGGACATGTTTGGGAATCATGATTGTAAACAAGTATTCCAACTTTCAAATTAATATCTCAAAACAGTTCAGTCAAAAAGTGGACTGGTACTAAAAACTTAACCAAGATTCTAAGTCGATAAAAGGCCTTAATTTTTTAAAACAAATCCTTGACAGAGTTACCTTCTCTTGCGTACAGATGGGGGGTAATGATGTGAAATAGCATTAAAAGTTTCAAAGCAATATCTCAAAGGGTTAAGGCAATAAGTGGATTTTACCCATATTCAATGTATTTTCTAAGTCAAAAAGGGGCATAATTCTGTCAAAAACCTTGACAGAGTTATGTCCTCTTGTCTGTTGATGAAGGTCGTGATGGTAAACAAGTATGGTCAGTTTCAAAGCAATACCTCCAATGGTTTTGAAATAAATGAGGTGGTACAAAAAACTTAACCAAGCTCAATACACTTTCTAAGTCAAAAAAGGGCCATAATTCTGTCAAAAACCTTGACAGAGTTATGTACTCTTGTCTGTAGATGGAGGTTATGATGGTGAACAAGTATGGTAAGTTTCAAAGCCATACTTGTAATACTTCTGAAATAAAGTGGGGTGGTACGAAAAACTTAACCAAGGTGTGACGCCAACGCCGACGCCGGGGCGAGTAGGATAGCTCCCCTTTTCATAGAAAAGTCGAGCTAAAAAATGTTTGTAGCATAGCAAGAATGTTGTACTATAATGATAACATGTATATGCCAGAGAACTTTCAAAATTGTTAACTCTTCACTTCAACAAATTTGAGGCTACATAAGTATTAAGCCTTGCCTTAGATGTTATCAGAACCAGGCAAACGGTGGGTTTTCTCAGCTGATACAATCACAGTACACATATGGTTTAACCAGAGGCATTGTCCATTTCCCAAATCACCTCTTTATTTAGAAAGAGACTTTTAAAAATGTTGCTTTATTTTCAGAGAAAGATTTATTTACATTCTAGCCCTAACTCCTGTGTTTTGAGCCAATTCACAGTATTTGTAGCTTTCAAAATTTAAATTTGAAAAGGTTAATGGTATGTATGACAAGAAAAAATGCCAATCAAGTTATAAAATATATAATATTATAACCTCTAATCAATGCAATAAAGCATGATATTGAATTTCAAGTACTAATCTTCTAAAGTTTTTATATAAGAGATTATTGCACCAATTGCTGTTATACAACATTTTATACCTTACATAAGTGCAGCTAGACTTGTTATCTAACCAAGGTACCCTTAGGCATTCTTTATTTAACACATTTACATTGGTAACTAGGGGGTATATGTGGTAATATTGCTCAACAAAAGATCTTGAAACACACAATGTCCATTATGACAGCTGGTCAATAATTTATGGTGTTATTATATACCAGTAGGTATTGGTCAAAACCAGAAAAATGATGATCAACATATATTGTTTTTTTTTAAAGATTTTTTTCTTCTGCTTACTTTACTTCATAACATTAAATTTTTTTTCTTTTACAAGTTAATAATCAGAATATAATTGTAGTAAGACTACATGTATGTGCAGTTGATGAATGGTGGAGGGCATAATTATGTAAACAAATTTCTTCTTTGAGTAAACTTTCTACATAAATGCTATTTTTTAAGTGTCATAATGCAGGCATCTATATTTACCGTAGACTTAAATTGTAACGCCATCAGAATGAACGATTTCAAGACAAATACATCAACACAATGGATGATTATTTGTATCAAAATATTGTATTGAGCTAAACAAGGGTTCTGCTTCATTGCCAACGAAAAAAAAATTGGAATAGGTCAAAGTAAATTAAAGCGGCTTTCATTCATGGACCTTTCCGGTTTTTCGTAGCGGAACATTTATCTACACCTTTTCAATTCATTTCTAGGTCAACTGCTCACAAACAGTAACACAACCATGTGTTTTTTTGTGCAAACCAGGTCAGCCAGTGACTATGTATTATCTCAGTGTAGCAATTGGATAACAAGTAAGCCAATTTACATAAAACTGTAAACACTGGAATGGTCCATTCGACTTCAACTCCAATCCCGACATAAATATCATTACGTAAGCTTTACAACATTCTAGCTTGGTTCTTGGCCAAGGAGTACATCTGACACAGAAAGTAATTTAAAAAGAAGAGCACCGCATGCAGTGTTAACGCTTGTCTGTTAAGGGCAAAAAACATTTTTCATAAAATATATAGAGGATATTTGTTTAGTTCAGTGTAAGATCGGAATACATTTCACCGAGTGAGCACCAAAAGGAAAATTTCACGAGTGGCGCAGCTAAACAAATTTTCTTTTTATTATATGCAAAGAAACGTTTTAAAAAGACATATAACCTAATACTGAATGAAAAGCGCGCCAAATAATAATACAACGTGACGTCATTTACGACGTCACATCATTAAGTTGGTACCCAGTATTGTGCACGCTGGTATTTCACTGAAACAACGTAAAGGGCTTAAATCAGTGAAATTATCAAAGTTGTAATTCTTCTGTTTCAAACAGTGAAATTACCAGTTTTATATCACTGATATATTTCTATAAACCACCGAAAAGCATGTAATAAAGAGACTTAATTCCTATAATTATTGCTTTCAGGACAATGCCCCTTGGCTTACAACTGTACAATATCAAGATAAACAAATAATTCATGTTGATATATGCCCATGTTTTTAAATCATTCTACTTAATAGGTAATTTTGACCAAAAAAAATCTATGTTAAAAGGGGCATTACAACAAATGCCTTTTTTTTGAAAAACAAAAATTTCAAGTTCCATGTTGATACCTTTTATTCTTTTTAAAAGATTCTTAGTTGAAAAGGGGCATAACTCCATAAATATAGGTTTCAGAATATTACCCCTAGTCTTACACCTGCCTCTTGTTGTGATAAGCAAGCCTTTCAAGTTTCATATTGAGTAAGGGGCTTGATTAAAGTTTCTGCATGAATATGACGCAGCGATCATTATAGCTAGACTTTTTCTTCGAAAACAGACAAGCTGAAAACTGAAAAATAAATAAGGTGGAATCTATATAATGTTCAAAAAAACTGAAAAATAATCATTCTCATGATCCTACTGTCAAACAACTAAATGTTTCCAAGAATCAGAAAAGCCTCGAAAATCAGATCTCTCCTAGAACCATCTTGACATCAGGGACTTTTTTTTTGCAGTTTTAAGTTTATGCTGTCATATAATTTTGATGTTTGGATTGGAACATTCAGATCTGAACCGCAAACAGGTTAAGATATTTTTTGCTGCATATTCTACCATATTCCATCATATAATAAATTCTTTACTGTACATCAACACTACAATTTTCCATGAAATGAATCATGTCATTACACTCAAAACTATTTTCTGACAAGATAACTTATGAAGTTACAACTTCATTCATAACGGCAAATTTATGTCATCCTAAGCATGCATTTTAACTCAGTTCATTGATAAAATATCATTAAATGACGCCATTGCATAGCACACCACTCAACTGGCAACCCCCATGCCAGTTGAAATTTCCAGCTTGGGCAAAAATAAAGACTTCTTCACAGGTGATCACTGGTCAACTTGTACAGTACACTCCAATGAATATGATGGCAGTGCACTAATAAAATACATTCTTGAAATACAGACATCAAATGATCCCCAAAGCTCACTAGCACTGACTGCCTAAAATGAACTTACATAATGATATAAGTGAATGTGAAAACTACAAGTAGTAATAAAAATTCAAATTTATTCACACATATAAATTACACTTATTAAAACAAATGATTTAGTTCTTTTAAAAACAGAGTACAAGTTAAGAGAGAAACATTTTAACCACTCAGTGGCTTACAAGATGATGTAAAATGATGTGGCAAGCCTTAGTTAACATATTAAAATGCTATGTATATAACTGGGTATGCAAGTAACAGCAGATTGTTAAGGTTTCTGTACTTTTATTATTTAAACATTAACAAAGACTCAACATTTGAAACCAGCAGCCATTATGAGTATTACCTAACAAAGAAAAATTATGTCAAGATGTCCAAATATTTTCTTTAAAAAAAAAAAGATGCCACTGTAAAAACAAATATATCACTGATCTTGTTTAAATTAAAAATCTTCAAAGTTTTTAAATTTGTTGCTAAATTGAGTCACGTTATTTTGTTGATTGTTCGAGATATGCAATCAGGTCCAGTCGTTCACTCTTCTTTTTCAGTCCAGCGAAAACCATCTTTGTTCCTGGGATGTATTTTTTCGGGTTTTCCAAGTATTCAAATAAAGTGTCTTTGCCCCATACAATTCCTAAAATAGAATGATAATTTCAATAAAATGTATGATCCTGGTCAAGTTCAAAAATATGTATGATACTGGTATTAAAGTTTTGATCAAGTAAATTTTTCTGATTTAGTGATATGCTTTCTTCTGCATAATGGCAAATTTAACCTCGGCTCAAACTACACTGGAATTCATTATTTTCATCAAACATGCAAGCTGTTTATTATTCAACAGTTTATATGTTCTTCATAACCAGTATCATTAACTTTTGATATATGTGTTAACACTAAAATTTGAACTTTTCATATTTAACAAAAAGAAAAAGTATATTGAAATTCTATACAATTAGCAATTATGTAAACTGTAAAGCACATTTACAATTGCAACACCTATTTCATATACTTTTGTTAATGATAATGACAAAGTTTCTATTTTTTTAAGATTTTATTGCAGTGCAAAGAACTAATACTTTAATGATTAACTTTAAAATCAATTAAACAAAACTTTATTTGACACTGCGACAAATTAAAGCTAATTTTATTTGTATAGCTTCTCTCCTGAAAGAAACTTGTCTCTAAAATATTTCTTTCACTTTTGGAACATATTTCAACCTTTGTGGTAAATTCAGTTAGACATTTTGACAGTCAATTTTACATTTAGTAATACTTTTCAATGAAACTGCTGGGTTTTTTTTAACCAGACAATATTCAATAAAGTGACATGCAGATCTTAAACATTCCAATATTTTCCAATTTTATTTAGTTATATCAGCAATAAGCCTAGGTTAAAAATTCCTAATGGCCAAAATGGCTATGCATCAAGTTTGATTGTAACATTACCTTTGTTTACATTAGCTGCTGTATAAGAAAAGTCTGCTGCCTGTCCAGTTTTTCTTCCAAAGAGACCATTTAAATTTGGTCCTGTCTTGTGCTTTCCTCCTTTTTCAACAGTATGGCACTGTGCACATTTCTGTATAAAGGTCTTTTTTCCCTTTTCTGCATCACCCATCTGCAAACCAAAAATACAAAAACATTGTTTGTGGTCTAGAAGATAACAATTTCAACATAATAATGTTATGAAATTTAACATTAATAACACTGAACAACATTTACATTCAGTAGTGCCAGAAAACCTGAAAACACTGTATGAGCATTGAGCATTATTTATATTGATGAAAAACATTTCCAGAAAGTTTTAAATATGTACTTGAGGCAAATGCCTGACAGCATGACTGTCACTTTTGTCTTTTGACTTCATCATTACCATTATTTTTGGCATGCACATTGACTCCTATCTTTATATCTTTTGATATTGAAAGATCCTGCTCATAAATATATAAGTATATTAACAGTATTGCAGCGTGTAAAAGGTACACAATCGAATAATGATTCTTCTTGATTTCTATTTGCTCACTAATTCATTCAGTCCAAATGGTTTATATTTACCAATGAATGTAATCATTATAGCATGTATAACAGATTACATTAACCAGGTCTAGTATATCGCCTGATTAGTGCATTATGGCCATTATGCACCAGTATGTGTATGATGCACTAATTGTTGTATTTTATGATGCACCAATTGGTGTACCAGACTTTCATTCAAATATTTGAAGACCCATTATTTTGTAAATATAGCAGTGTGAATTGTGGCACCTGCACTTACTATAGATAATATTCATAGAAATATCCTGAACTTAAAGCTATTGATGTAAACACTGGCAATTCTTGCACTTTTTTTGAAAATCTGCATGATACACTAATTGGTGCATCCCAAAATTGGAAGTGCTTATTTTTTTACTTTCCAGGCAAGAGACTATTTAAAAACTAAGTATACCTGATCAGAATAATAAGTTAAATACCTAGATATGAAATATGGAAATGAATTTATGTCTGCAAGTTACAATTTTTCAGTGGATGAAAACATTAAAATCTCCTGAAGTTCATTTAAATCAGAAGTGGTGTTTATTCTTTGTCAATAATACAGACTATCACCAATGTAATGTGCAGGTGCCAAAACATGATTATAAATAAACAAAGAATTATTTACAGACAAACATTTATCAAAATTTTATTCACTGATCGGTGTATGATTAAATACATCAATTTGTGTATAATGTACCAATTTGTGCATCATGCACTAATCTGGCGATATACTAGACCTGTTAACTTTCTGTTACATAAACAAGGTCTTATTTTCAAGTCATGTATTAACATAGGTACATGTAGATCTGCGATCATTTATGATGTAATAAATTAATATTTTATCAACGTACTTATTCAAATGAAAGGATAATTAAGATCTCTTTTATATAACAATACTGTTCAGCAACATTATAACAAATACGTGAAGTTACCTTTTAAAAAAATGTATGTATCCAACAAAAATAACAGGTTTATGCTTCACAAAATTAGACCAATTTTAAATAAGTGTTCTTCACCACTTGGAACTTAAATTTAACTTTAATGACCTTGAATCAATTCATGAATGAAAAAATCTTCTCTTTTCCACATAAACTTCTGAAAACAAGTAATTATTCTACACTGAAGATTGCTTTATATAAAGCAAAGCGGAATATGTTACGAAACAGTATCGTTGAATATTTATGTAACAAAAACCAAGCATTTCGTCAGATCAAGTTCGATGGAAAAAAGGTTCACCTTGGAACGTTTCCGCCGAAGTCTAAAACACCTTCCATGTTTTAACTTCAACGAACTAAAAACACTTATCTAGCCATTTCTGACTGAAATGAAAGCATTAAAAACGTATACTGAACGTAAAATCACTTACTTTTTCGGCTTGATGGTAACCCAAACGTGCGAGTTAGATATGCCGGATAAAAGGTCGAACAACAGTTGTGACGTCACAGATAAAGGATTCACTTAATTCATGAAGCAATAGGGGTGTAAGGAAATATTGATGAAAAATAAACATGCTTTTGCTTTGGTGACAGCAGATTTTGCTATATAAATATATAAACGTTTTGATTAATTACTAAATTAAATGTTTTCTTTATTGCAGTTTTTTGTGGAGAAGGTTTATTAAAACGTAAAGCAAAAATATGAACTGTATACCCCTTAATATAATAGAAGCGCCGAAATAACACGCATGCTTATTCGCGTTTTCCGGGCACGCGAAAAAGCTCTACCGTACTTCAATTTTTAATACTTCGGCAATTTCCGTCATACACTCATCGTCTATGGTATTGAGCGTGGCTATTTCATTGAGCATATAATATTTTGTCATTTAAGATCGACATTTTGATATGAACAGGAAACAAGAAACTTTACATACATAAAGTGCTTCATTAATAATTCGTACAGCCACGATATGGAACAGCTTACCTGCCTCCGTTGCAGAGGCCCCTGCTTGGTATCCTTCAAGCCGGGCTATCAGCCTCACATTTCTAAGTCCCTTAGGGGCCCAGCTACAAGTACCCACTAGTGATTATCCAAGGCTGTGCCGGCAGCGGCCACCGTAACCGGAGAGGTTTGGGTTGAAGAGGCGAAATATAGCTGGCCATACTTTTTGTCTATATCTCTATCTTTGTACTATCCAACCTCTTCTTACTTTCTATCATTTCTTGTATATTTCTTTTTCTTGACCTAGCACCACCCGTCGCGTCATAATCAAGTGTGATTGCGCCGACGTACAATGTAGATGTAGATCAACCGACACGATCAATACAATTTTAAATCTAACTAGAAAGTATGAATTTGAATATATAATGTACTCAACGTCACTAATTATGCGTCATCACTTATTTCATGTTATCACATAAAACACGGCGCAGGAGTGTAATAAAGTCATTTAATAAAAACGATATTACACTAGTGTAATAACACTTTGACGTGACGTCATTTGCGCTATATAGAAACATAGCGTTAAAGCGCGCTAATGTTAGCGTTACACTATAGGCGCGTCATTCGTGCAGAAAATTACTCATTTTAACAGTTTTACTGTTCTTAAATTTTATATAATGTGATAAAAGAATATTTTATTACATGCTTTTCGGTGGTTTATAGAAATACTATCAGTGATATAGAAACTGGTAGTTTCACTGTTTGAAACAGTGAAATTACCACTTTGGATAATTTCACTGTTTTGAATTTAAAGCCCCTTACGTTTGTTTCAGTGAAATACCAGCGTGCACAAGTACTGGTACCAACTTAATGACGTGACGTCCTAAATGACGTCACGTTGTATTATTATTTGGCGCGTTTTTCATTCAGTATAAGGTTTAATGTCTTTTTAAAATGTTTCTTTGCATATAATAAAAAGAAAATTTGTTTAATTTAGTGTAAGGTCGAAATATATTTCACCTTGTGAACACCAAAAGTTCATATTTCACTCGTGGCTGCGCCACTCGTGAAATATACCTTTTGGTGCTCACTCGGTGAAATATATTCCAATCGTACACTGAATTAAACAAATATCCTCTATATATTCGTGCAGATTCAATACTAAATTTATTGAACTCGTTAAATAAAACAATATTATGCTCGCCAGAGGCTCGCATAATATGATTTTATTCAACTCGTTCAATAAATTTAGTATCAAACTATACTCATTTAATATCCTCTATTTATTTCATGCTTTCCAGTGTTTTATTGTAATATATCAGATGATTATATTCTGATAAACCACTAGAGAAATTTATAAAATATAATTTTCACTGTAGCCGGACTATATATATCTGAATGCGGATGAAAAGAAAATCATAACTTTATGGAATAGCAGGCAGAAATAAATGCTGTCATACATAAATTTTGCTTCTTTAGGAAAAGAAAGTCGATGTCCCCATACATCATGTTAAAAATGTAACAAAATTAGAGAAATTTAACAGAACTATTTTTCAAAATTGATGATGTGACGTCATGATGCGATGACGTCACAAAGGAGAATGCGCGACGTTACGCGGCAATATCAGTAAAAAAAATACTTAAAATCACTTAAAAAGCATGAAATAAAAAGAAAATTTATTTGTTTTACATGTAAGATTGAAATATATTTCATTCGTGAACACCAGCTAATATATTTTCACTCGTGGCTACGTCACTCGTGAAAATATTGCATCTGGTGTTCACTCAGTGAAATTATATTTCAATCTTACATGCAAAACAAACAAATATCCTCTATGTATGTGACTTTTGTTAATATTGGTAAAAATTTACATGTTTTAGTCATACACCTTAACAACAAAGTTTTTGTGCAAAATGTTTTAAATTTGTAGATTTTTACGTAAAACAACACCATCTTACTAATTACTGCGCAAAATCACAATATCATAGTTACGTCTCATTAAACAATCGCCATTTTCTATACGTTCTTGTTTGTTGAAAAAACAAATGACTTTGAGATACAAAGTAAAGACAGTTTTAATATTTAAAATTTAACAATATTAATTAAATTTAGTCATTTTAACAACGTCCATTTAATGTGATTAATTTTTATTGAATATGTTGTTGTTTCCATGTGTCATACAGCAGAAAATTATGGCGGCTGATTTGGTACGCCTTTGTGCGCTATGTTGGCGGCTAGCGACAAACGAAAGCGCCAAAGCGCGCATTGTTGGACTTTTCGTTAGTGGTCCGTCGCTAGCCAACACGACAAAAGCACGAAAAGGCGGCGGGTTGTCGTCCTGTCTTTAGCGCGGGCACGCCAAATGGCCCTTTTGTTGCGGACGCGTTGTCGCCATTTCGCTTGGGCTTTTAAGGCCAATCTTCAATTTGAACCCGAAAGCGACATTAATCGGGACAACATGCCCGCACGACAACGCCCATTTGGTGGTGGCCGCCGCTATTTAAAGACGGCAAGACACAAGCGCGGACAGAGCGCCGCACAAAAAGCGTAAGCAAGAATCACTACCAACTAGAAAAATACCTAAAATGTTACAGCTTATAACAATTTTTCTTACTGTAAGTTCATTTCAAAATCGTTAAGTGCCGTGAATTAATTTAAGAGAAGCAAAGCATATAATGCTCTGAAAAAAGTACATCTTTTAAGATTCTTAACCGATAATTGCTTCTCCGGTCGCATCTTGGTTTCTTTTATTTTATAAGAATACCTTGGAAATTTGCTCTAAATTAGAGATATAGATAACTCTTATCTACATCTCTGATTAAATAAATAAGACATGTAATGTACCAATAGTTTTAATAGCATGATGAATATATGAATGTATCTACATTTTTCTTCAATATAATTATATTTGGCTTGTCCTGCATTCAAACGTTATAAGGGATATACAAATTATATCATTTCTACAGTATTGGAAGAAACATTTTTTCCTTCGACGATCTTTAAAACACACAGAATTAAATAAGAAAGGTAGAAAAATCGACCAGAATATAGGAAGCTGTATTTAAAAAACTGAGTTTTAAATGTTTGGGGCATATTAAAAAAAATTTTTTTTTTTAAAAAATTTAAACATAAAAGGGGCCCACCCTATTTGGGCCCCAAAAAAGGAAGGTATAATAAAATTTGCATGACTTTTTGGTCAATTTTCCCAAACCATTTTTTTTCTTTGAATAATGTGTCCCAGCCATTTCACGTCCCGCCCCCTGTTTTATATCAACAGATTTTTTGGGTTTCCCACAGCAAAATTTGGGCATTTATAAACTTTTTTTTCTAATTTTTGCTTGCCCAAAACGAAAAAAATTTACTTATTCCCCTTAAAAAACCTTTCTTTTGGGAACAAAAAGGAAAAGGGGTTGGTTTTTGGCCCAAATCATTGCTTTATCATATCTAAAAGCACACACCTGAATTCAAACAAAAATCATGTGATGAACTTTGCCAACTCACATCATAATACTTAAATTATAACATGTTAAATTTGGGAAATTGCATATCACATGTATTTAAACGAAGAAAATTAAATCAATTGAATATAAAAAATGTTATCTTGTTAGTAATATTACTTTATTTCCTTTCATTCTCCATGTGTTGTTATTATGTACAGTTCAAAGATGTATTTGTATCATTGCATGACACTTTGCTACTAAATAACACAGAATTGTATACAATCCATGTAAAAAATATAAACTTTGAGGATTACGTTTAATTTTATTTGAATGTAACATTTTATGCATTTTGTACACGTCTTATATGTTAGAAAAATATAGTTTCATCATCATCATAATGAGCTGTTTAGGGGAATTCCCCCTGGTAGATTAAATGTAAAAAAAAATTGTAGACTTTAACCTATGCATTAGCTGTTAAAATATTTTCTTTTTTTCTTCCAATATTAAGAATGATTGCTGTACAATCACAAAGCTATATTTAGAGAGTATTAAAAGACTCTAGTACAATTCATTTTTAGCGTTTGAAATGCAGATCGGCTAATGTCTTACGTTTATTCTTTCATCTGGGAAGACGTTAAAAGTCTTCCAAGATATTATAAGACTTAAATAAAGCGCTGACCGAAGGTGGCGCGATAGCTCAGTTGGTTAGCCCACTGACTGTCCACTGATTGTCACTCCTGGGGTTCCTGGTTCGATCCTGGGTAACACCCTTGGGATTTTTCAGAAACACTTTCCACCTAACTAGGTTTACTGGTACGAAACCCAGGTTATCCTTGTAGATCAGCATATATGTGTATCAGTGAGCACTATACACTGGGCATGTGAAAGAACCAAGGAATCTATTCAATAAGAGCTAGGGACTGGTTTCCGGATTCCCTTTTATCTCATAGCTGTCTAAAAAATCAATCAATCAATCCAAATTGTAAGCCCTTGTAGACTGAACTCTGTAGCTTACCCAATTGATATTCAAGGGGCTTAGACAAACTACGCACGATAAGTATCTAATCATGTAAGGGGAGGTCACTGCATGTGAGATTGTCTTTAAAAGTGAAAGGAGTTGTCTCTCTTTCTTATCCGTCATAAAACTCGAAAACGAGGCTCGTGTATCAGCGGCTCCTTTGAAGTTTGCACTTATTGTGTTGATAGTGTGTTTGACGGATGGATAAAATGTAGTGCTTTTGTGAATTTAAAAGTTTATTTGGTGCTTTGAAGAAATGAAATTAATTTCAGGGTATTTCTTGTTTCTAGCGATTGGATTTATATTTCCTGATACGGAATGTTTGAAAATTAGTAAGTATTAATTCGCATCATTATCAAATTAATTGATGGATAATTGATTTATTGATCGCGAAATCACATTACATATGTGAAAGTGTCATTTGTAAGCATGACTCACATGGTTGGAAAAGCGTGTACATTTGTTTTTAAAAGTTATTAATTTTTAATTTGCATGTTGTTATTTATTTTGTCGTATATGATTAATGCAATTGTTAAAACAATTTACTACCATGTTACTGACATATATAGTAACTAATTTGCACTAATTTTAGAGACTTACATATCCCCGGTAATATGATATTTTTACATATCCTGATTGGTAATTAACAATAAGATTTAAAATTGTATAATCAAATGTGTTTAATATTTAATTATGATTTTCTGATTCTATCAAACTTCAAAGAATAATCTGGTGCTCATTCAATCTAAATATTGGTCACCTTGGTAAATAAATTGGTTCAGTAACAGGTTAACTCCTATTGAATGGTATAAGGAGTTAACCCATTACTTCACTAAGAATATGTAATTACTTTAGCTATGACTATGAGCTAGATTTACAACTGCATAATGCATTGGCTAGCATCACACATATTTCATTTATTTATTTATTTATTTTGTTTTATTATTTATTTATTTATTTTGTTTTGACATATTTAGCCATTTCAAATCTTGTATAGTTTGGACAAAGTCTTCTTTACAAAGGGTTATCTATAAAAAATGTGCATTTTTTTCTTTTAAGCCAAAATACTGAAGATTCAATAGGTGCAAATGATATCAAAATAGCGGCTTACAATAAATATGGCTGGGTTGCACTGTGCAATTTGAATTTTACTGAAATTATTTGACTTCCATTTAAGTTTATATTCAGATCCTTATCTAGGCTTAATAGGCAATTATTTTAAACAGGTGTCATTAAGATTTCTTTTAATGATCAATAATAATGTTACGGAAATATTTTATCTTTTATATGTAGGAAAACAATTATCATTTTCATTAAAGAGATATCATTTTAAGTGTATTATATTTAAGAAAATTAACATACTATTACCTGTGCCTTTTTATCTATTTTATCTGCTATTCATTACCTGTGTATGGTGTAGAAATTACCAGTCATGTTATCAGTGATCAAAGAATTACATAATTGTTGATTGATTATTAGTTAAATCAATTATCTGATCATCTAACGTTTGAGGTAAGAAATTAAGGAACTTGATATCAATAATTGGCCACATAAATAATGGAAAAACGGGCAGGGTATTTTGCTTTTCTTGGATGATTTGTTTATACATTTTATTCTTTAATATATTTTATTACTGCGGGTATGAAGACATTAAAATTCACAGAATTTTTAAAAATATTTAATTTGACTTTGTGACTATAAATAAATTATTGATGCGTAAAAGCAATTTTTTCTATATGATTCATGTTCTACATTTTTAATCTACCTACATTTTTTGATTCAGCTAACATATATTAGATCTACCTAGTTTTTTTCTTGTTTTTTTTTTCTTAATTTTTTTCCTTTGGAAGTACTGGTATTAACTTCAAAATAGGTTGAAGGTGTAATTCTTAACCCACATTATGTATATAATAATTACAGAAGTTTCAAATTAAACAAAAATCAGATTTTGTAAATGAATTCTTTTTTTTTTGAAATTAGGGAAAAATAAAATAATTTTGGATAGAGTAAAATTGCCATGTATAGAAAAGGTTTTAACCTTTGTGGTAGACTTGTATACATGCCTGTACTAATTAATGTAAATATTAATATAGACAGGTCAATCTTATTCAAACATCTAATGATGCTGATAAGGGGATCTGTGCCCCCCTGTGTGCTTGTTATGCAAGTGGATTTACTAAAGACAGCATGTAACTCTTCCCTTTCATCATTTGTATTTATGACAGGAACATCTGATGTTCCTTACCTGCTGTTTCAGTCAGTTCAGTTGGTAAAATGCATTGTTTGTACAAGATTATAACACAATTAATTCTATTGAAAGATGATTTTCATGGAGTGCAGTGGAGGAAATGAATTGTATGAACTAGCTGACCAGTAATACCTATATACTTTCTTATACAATTACAATAATCTATCTCTGCACATTTGGTTTAATATGTCATGTACAGACTAGATCAAGCAGATTCTGAAGTCTGCATATTTTACCTATTTCTTAATAAAAAAAATATCTCCCTTTTCAACCAGTGTTCTATTCTGTGTTCAGGTACATGTAACTTTGTTAATTAAAAATATAACCTCTGGCAGGAAAAGTCATGTGACAGGCACCTGCTTTAAAACATGATAGTGTTTGCAGAACTCAAGTTCTCTATTTCATTTAATTCACAAAGAAATATGTTTATTTTATAAACCTAGCTGTGATCAAAATGCATCCTTGACAATTGACAATTGGCTGTATCCTGCGACATACTGTATTATGGCATTTATGAATCTGTTTTGATATTTGACTTTTTTGAGCTGCATTTGGAAAATTAATATGGAATGCTAGGGAAGCCCAAAAGTGCCACCTTAACAATAACATTTTTCAAAATTAATGTATTATGCTATGGCCATTAAAGATATTGTTTTAACTATTAATGTTTACAGTCAAGTCCAAGAATAATTTAGTTTTACCAGGTGTGGTTATAAAAGTCTCATCCTTTAATTAATTGACAATATGGTGCACAACAACATTATTATTATTATTACACGATTTGGAAAATTTTATGGAAAAGAAAATTGAAGCCTTGTAAATTAAGCATATAACTAGCCACCTTCGGTCTAATTTTATTATTGTTAACCACAATTTCAATCATATATAAACCAAAAAGAGAAAATCTCTTCCACTGGAAGCAAGATTGAAAACCAGTTTTAGAACTTCATATTTTCTGTAATGAATGGTTTCTATGGCAATTGCCAGTTTTGTTACTTTTACCACATGTGTTTTGTAAGTTATTGAAAGCTTTGATGTATTTTCCTCAGCTCATCCTCTCTTCACCTCAGAGTTTTCTATTCTATTCTCTTCATCTGTAAAAACTTCATACCCTTCGTGCATCTAGTAATTAATTCTTAGAAAGTACATAAAATTACCCTGTCTATGATACCTGCAAATTTATTCTTATGTGATATGAATTAATGACAGAGTTTTCAAAGAATATAAAACATGTGCATTATGAATCATTCTTTTAATGAACATGCAGATAATTATACTCTCTCTCTCTCTTGCAGCTATCGTAATAAGGAAAATGATAAAATTTCTCTTAAATTTTAGCTTTTCAGGCTTAATTATCTGTTGTTTTAATTGATGGATTTTGTATTCATGTTTCTTCATTTAATAATTCTTATATACCATGCAGATATCAAGAAATTTCTAACTAATTAATTATACAGAGAAAGACCTCACATGTAGGCTGACAATAATAAAAAAAACAAAACAAAAAAAACAACAATATTTTCATCTTAGTTTGGAGATAAAAAAATACATGTAGCAGATGTCGTAAGCCAGTCACGAGTCACGATGCACTGGATCAATCTAAGTAACAAGATTGATTTTTTTTATCAATACCAGTATTTCATTATTAAGATCACAGTTTTCTTCACAGATTTAATAGAAAAGTTGTTTTTTTAAAACAGGTAAAATCAGTTAATTACAGGAACAAATTATTCAGGTTAATCAGTTTCCACCAGATGTAAGTCATCATGGACATAGAAATACTGTGGAACTTCGTAAATGTAGGTTTTTCCCACCTAATCCTGGGATTCAAGTATAGGTCTAGTACGTATTTACAAAATTAAATTGGTCAGACCGACGCAGCCCAGCGACCAATTTTTGATTTTGTAAATTTTGTTTGTTTGTTTGTGTCATTTTACGCCTTTTTCCAACAGTATTTCAGTCATATAGGCGGGTAGTTTCCTAACCATCGTTCCTGGAGAGTTAAACCAGTACTTGACTACCTTCCTCCGCGCTAAACTACCAAAGCATCTCCCGGGGATCGAACCCACGCCAGAGAGGTAACTGGATTAGAAGTCATCGACTCTAACCACTCGACCACGGAGGCGGTTTATTTTTTAATACATACCAATAAATTTTAACCAGCTAAGTTTATAAACCGTTGATTTACTAGACTGATTGATTAACAGTTTGCTGATTTACCAAAGTAAATGTGTTGCATTCATTTGAAATACTGCAATCCCATTGGACAAAAAATTATTTCAAACACTAAACAGACTTTAATTGTTACAACTTGGTAAAACATCGATAATAAGCTCATCAGGTTCATCACTTAATTATGAACAGTAGTTCACCATGAAGCATATGGTGCAAAGTTGTTTGTACCCTTGTCCCGAAATTAGATGGGAAAAACCCATATTTTGTTGGGTTCCGGATACTTTTAATTTACATTCTCTTTAATATCTGAAGCCACAGTGACATGTAAAATCAGGAACCTTTTACCTGTGGGTTCAAAAATTAAATGGTGTGGAATTTTTTTTTAACAACGTACAAAACTCATATCCATCTCTGCAGCTGGAAAATTTGTGATGCTACTCAGCAATAACTGTCTTCTTGTTTTGTTTTTGTGTTTTGTTTTATTTTGTGTTCATCATTCATTTTGCTTTTTCTTCACAGTTCAGTCTGTCTGAAAAATCTTCAATGTTATGACATGATTATTGTCAGACTGTGATTTTAAAGTAAAGTAGTAAAGAAAGTGATATCTGAGCTATAATGAATAATCAGGCTAATGTACAAAATGTACCTCAGCATGCAATTGTTGCTTTTTTATCCAGCAATGATCAGTATATTGATCTCAAACTGAGAACCAACTGCCACTGACTCCAGCTTGTAACTCCTTACTAATTGTTGTTCTTGACAGATTTATGGATCAGTAGAGTCAATGAGTTATAATGTCAGCCAGCTTGATATTGTTTGTTGGAAGATTTGTTCCAGCAGCCAATAAATCAATGTGAAGTATTAAAATTGACACCAGCTGTGTGTAGGATTCATTAAATACAAACAGTATTAAAGTCATAGTCAAATACACCATATCCTGGGTGGTATTAAAAAAGAGTTAAACTCTGACCTTCTCAATAGATTTAATTCAAGTCAAATGAGCAAATTGTAAAACAGCTAGAAAAAAATTTACATAAAATTTAATTTAATTTATATTAAAGGAATTAACTCTTTTTTTGAAGACCTTGATACTACTTTATAATCAAGAAAACAAAACAAAACAGCAACATGTCGAAAAACATAAACAAAATGTATTTAGAATTAAAATACAGAATAAGATAAATATATAATACATATATTAAATTGGTAAGGTCTTTTGGAGACTGTATCTTCAAAGTTTTTAATTGTTTTATGTAAAGTATGAAGAACTAATTATGGCAATCTTTAAATTGTCATGTTTTGTACAATAAGGTAGGTTTGGGCTGTTGGAATGTAATTTAACTAATTATAGCATTGATTAGTATATTTTAATTTTTATTTCCAAAGCTTTTTGTTGTTTTAATATTTTATAAAAAAAAGTCTACAAATATGTATGAGAATTTAACATGCAGACTGTGAATCAAATTCTGTAATATTTAATGTGCCTCATTAAAATGCAGTATAATTATGTGCATGTTATCATTTGATCATATGATTATGATATCATTAATAATGTGACATCAATTAATATGTGACAATGTTATACATTTACCTTTCATTTAGAATCAAGTCCTTTTTTTGGAACAAAAAATTGTCACTAAAAATTGTTAAAAGCAACCAACGTGACTAATTAACTGCACAAGTGCTTGGTCAATACAACTTCAATGTCATGTACTAGCACTATTAGTGGAATATTTCAGGTACAGTGTTAATGCTTCATTAAAATTTACTAGTTGTTCATTGTGAAAACATCACCATCTGAATCAGCTCTTTTGTGTGAGTTCTTGCTATATAGATATTCCCTCAAAGTGTTTAAATCAATACAGAATATCCTGACAAAAGTGAGCTGAACTAACCATTATACCATCAATGCCATTTGTAATATTTGGGATGCAGTAGGAGATAAATACCATTACAGGCATTGATCTATGTCTTAAATCATGCAAGAGATGATGAGAGGAATTGTTTTGACCTGTAGTCTGAATTTCTGAATCTTCGCGGCTCCAGAGGGGGATTTTCTTGTCTAGGGGTTCTTAAAATTCTGTGACTCGCATTATTTTAGCATACATTTTGTGTATCGTATAATTAATTTATCATCCTGTAATAATTTAATTTATCTCTTGATTTTGGGTTGCTTGATTTCTATTATCTTGATACCTATTCTGAATTTTAACACTTTTAAGTTGTAGATCTACTGTAAAACCCATGGTTTACAATTCCAGAGTTTCCAGTAACGCAGCTTCTTGCATCCTTCACATGAAATTAAACAAAAAGGTCATTAAATTACAAAGTAATCTCTCCACAAAGCGTTCATAGTACAACGATTCCATTCATAACTTAATATACTTATAAAAAATACAATAAATAAAGAAAGTATTTTCGACAATTAAGTTCTAAAAATGCAATTCTTGAATGTAATACATGTATCTATTATGAGATGTTGTGACCAATGCCTTTTGAGTTGTGCTGGTGCTTGTTAGATAATCAAGTTTTTTTCAAGTACTGTTTGCTGTGTATTATTTATATTATATAACATACATGTACTATATTATGTTTCAGTCAAGGAGTCAAGACCTTTAAAAATGGTGAAATATTCAGGGTTTATATAATTATAAATGTTCATGTATTTATCTTATTTATATACTTGTTATTCATTTCAGAACGTGATGTAGGGAGATTAATGCAAGAATACCCTTTTAACCAGTTCTTGTTGAGAATGGTTCCCAAACCATTCCAGATAGTGTTTGTTAAGCAAGTAAAGAAACACAGTCTGGAACCAGTCTCAACAAGAGTGCGGGACATTGGACATGTAAGTTTTGTATTTAATTGGCTTACTACTTAAAATTATTTATCATTTATTACTACATTCTACCACTTTGGAGTGTATAGTATTATGAGTGGTCCAGATATTGCAGTTGAGATGGTTTAACTTTTAGTGATCTATTTTAGTGTCCCAGAGCCTAGACCCTACCCCAGAGCCTTAGACTTACCATGCACCATTATATAAAGACAGCTCACTGAGCTTTATAAATCACCATAGTTGTATGTTGAACACAGCCATTTACATGTACCAAACTCCTTTGGTTTAATGTGGATTTTAAATTTTTATTGATTGTTTCTTTTGTTAATTTTAACTGTAACATTGTAACAAAGTTGTCTTTTCTGTGACCACACAGTAGCATCAAAACATATTTAAAATTGTGTATTGAGAACCTACTAGTTTCAGGTATACACTATCCTTTTTCAGGGTGAAATAAAAGATATGTCACTTATATTTCAGGGAATGTATGAGCATATCCAGCAACTGACATTACAGATTATTATAGACAAAAAGAAGCACAAACTCAAATTACAGAGAAATGAGTAAGTAACTAGTACTGTGAATATAATTAAATGCCTCTATCTTTACCTGATGACATTGCCCAACATCACATTTAACCCATACTGATGGTAAACGCACATTTAACCCATACTGATGGTAAACGCACATTTAACCCATACTGATGGTAAACGCACATTTAACCCATACTGATGGTAAATGCACATTTAACCCATACTGATGGTAAACGCACATTTAACCCATACTGATGGTAAACGCACATTTAACCCATACTGATGGTAAACGCACATTTAACCCATACTGATGGTAAACGCACATTTAACCCATACTGATGGTAAACGCACATTTAACCCATACTGATGGTAAACGCACATTTAACCCACACTGATGGTAAACGCACATTTAACCCACACTGATGGTAAACCCACATTTAACCCACACTGATGGTAAACGCACATTTAACCCACACTGATGGTAAACGCACATTTAACCCACACTGATGGTAAAACGCACATTTAACCCACACTGATGGTAAACGCACATTTAACCCATACTGATGGTAAACGCACATTTAACCCATACTGATGGTAAACGCACATTTAACCCATACTGATGGTAAACGCACATTTAACCCATACTGATGGTAAACGCACATTTAACCCACACTGATGGTAAATGCACATTTAACCCACACTGATGGTAAACGCACATTTAACCCATACTGATGGTAAACGCACATTTAACCCACACTGATGGTAAACGCACATTTAACCCACACTGATGGTAAACGCACATTTAACCCACACTGATGGTAAACGCACATTTAACCCATACTGATGGTAAACGCACATTTAACCCATACTGATGGTAAACGCACATTTAACCCATACTGATGGTAAACGCACATTTAACCCACACTGATGGTAAACGCACATTTAACCCACACTGATGGTAAACGCACATTTAACCCACACTGATGGTAAACGCACATTTAACCCACACTGATGGTAAACGCACATTTAACCCATACTGATGGTAAACGCACATTTAACCCATACTGATGGTAAACGCACATTTAACCCATACTGATGGTAAACGCACATTTAACCCATACTGATGTTAAACGCACATTTAACCCAAACTGATGGTAAACATAAATTTTAGCCCAAACTGATGGCAAACGCACATAAATTTTAGCCCCAACTGATGGCAAAGGCACATAAATTTTAGCCCAAACTGATGACAAAAGCACATAAATTTTCACCCATACTGATGGCAAAAGCACATAAATTTATGGCAAAAGCACATAAATTTTCGTCCATACTAGAGCTGTCATGGATATCGACAATATCGATGTATCGTTGATATTTTTTTGTCGATTAAAAATCGATACACATTTTAAAAAATCGATACTTTTGACTTATATATTAAATGTCTAGAAATTATACAATTCACCCAAAATATATGCAGAAACAGTTAAGCTATGCTTATGTTATATAGTGGAATTATTTCATAGCAATGGTGACAAAAAATATATTGTCTGGTAAAAATTCATGCAGTGGACAAGACACTGTACAGGACATGTTTTTAACTGAAATCATTGAAACAGGTATGAAAGTGAATGACAGACAAGTGAGTATAGGATAATATCGATATATCGGTGTATCGTTGATTTTAGTCACTTGATATCGATATATCGTTGATATGCTTTGCACTGAATCAATGACAGCTCTAGTCCATACTGATGGCAAAAGCACATAAATTTTAGCCCAAACTGATGGCAAAAGCACATAAATTTTAGCCCAAACTGATGGCAAAAGCACATAAATTTTAGCCCAAACTGATGACAAAAGCACATAAATTTTAGCCCAAACTGATCGCAAGAGCACATAAATTTTCGCCCATACTGATGGCAAAAGCACATAAATTGATGGCAAAAGCACATAAATTTTTGCCCATACTGATGGCAAAAGCACATAAATTTTTGCCCATACTGAGTGAGTGTAAAAGCACATAGAATTTTAATAACAGCAATGCTGGCATCTATATACGGTACATGTATTATCTTTGCCACCAGTGTAGATCATTCATGTACTCTGAATTGTCACCTGTATTTTAATAAGAAGTGAGTGGATACTGCCAAATTTAGAAGCCAGTTAAATGGTTGGGTATAAGTCTTAGCCAGGGCCTTTGAAGTTTTTTCTCAATTAAGATGAACTTAATTGCTTACACAGGAACTTGCTCTGCGGGCAGTTGTATAATGAGAAAATCCAGGCTTGTTTGCCTCCAGGTTGCCTGGCTAGTGACCAGATATTTCTATTAATCTTTGTTTTTTCTTCATAAACAGTTCTTTTCTCTCTGAATCGAAGAATGATATATTTAGTAAACTGTAAATAACTCTGAACTTCTTACCTTCTTATGGTGTTAAATATAAGAGACAAGATAGAATTATAATCATGAAGATGTGATGCACTTTTGTTTTGAGGTCTTAAAGATTTACTTTAACAGTCAGAGCCAAAATGTTTTCCACGAGCCAACTAAGAATTGTAGATAAAAGTGTTGCAGCAACTGTGCTGACTCAGGGCAATAGCACATAAAATTTTAATGTATGCTCACAGCTTTAGCAAATTTGATCTATGTTGACAAAAATTAATCTCTCATTATGTAAAATATAATGTAAAATTCTTTATTTAGGTAAAATTATAAGTTATTAAAATTGTCAAACATCTTGTAAAATTTAACCAAACTGACGATCAGATGATCAAAAACATAGATATTCACTTTCCAAATTCTGTATAAGATGGCATGTAACTTTATATAATAATAGTGAGTAATTATGACAATATATCAGCTTTCATTCTGTGGAGTTGTAAAATATTGAATAATTAATAAATCAGTGTGTTCAAAAGCTTGTCCTTAGATCGTATAAACTATTTATTAATAGTAATTGCGGTCATACGGTCATATGTTCACCTGAAGTAAGGTCAAATTTTTGTAAAACTATTCCGTTCATAGCAAACAATCTGACTGGTGGCATTATCCAGCAACAACAGGCTGAAACAAAAAAACTGACTGTTATACATGAATAATTTACGTGAATACTGCCAGATTACCTTATGAATATTTGAACAATTCTTCTACTACAGACTGTGATGACAGCCATTAGAATAGGGGGGAAAAAAATCAGAAAACAAGAACCAGTCTGTTTTGATCTGGCAGTAATTAGCATTCTAGGATATTGTTTTTGAAAGTATTCAATCAGGGTGCAGTGTAATGAGCTAATTTAATTGAATTCATATATATATATAATATAATATATATAATCTTTATCTGGCTATAGAGGCCTCCAATCTAAGCCCAGGGGTTAATTAGAGGAGCATATTGCAGATCATTTGCTCTTGAATCTGGGGATTTGAATCTTGCTTTGGTCATTGCATCCAGGCAGCTTGTTAGCTTTGGTTGGTGGTTCTTAACTGAGGTGCATGCCTTAGCTTGAAATAACTAACAAGCAGAGTGTCATATAAGATCTTCCTTCAAATGTAAATCAATTGTTTAAGTTAAAGTGGTTGAGTAGAGTAGTCTACATCAAAGGGTCATGTTTATTGGCAGCAAATTATTTGTCATTCAATTTTCTCTAAAATTCAGAGGGTTTATCCAATAATATTGTGAGTCATGTATGAAATTTTAATTAGTTTAAAACAAATCGATTTCATTGAATCTGGTATTGTAACTTAAGTAATGCTATGTTATATTACTTATAATGGGTAGGGTGATTGTATGATGTTTCTCCTAAACACTGTATTTATAGCAGTTTTTTGAATGAGACTTAAAAACCAAGATGTCTATATGATTCCGTCAAAGAAATTCAAGTCTTGATATTTTTCTAAAACAGAGAAGATCTGCACTTGCATTTTCCTTTAAAAGTAAAAGATAACTATAAATACTACAACATATTGAATTAGTTTTCTGTATTTGTATTCTAGCTATGAATAGATGTATCTACAATGTACTTATTTTTGATACCAATTATTAATAACCGTTATTTTATAATTATGTGATGTAAAAGTTATGAAAATTTTAAAACTCATGAGTTGAAATGTGAATAAAAAAAAATGTTTCATTGACCTATATTAGTAACGTTAACTGTCAGTTTCATTGACTGGATGTATTCTTGACATTAAGTTATAAACTTATTCATGTTAATAGTTTATGATACAGTAATGTTCAGTGAAAGTAAGATCAAAGTAGATAATGTACATTTAAAAACAATTTAAGATGAAATTTAATAAAAGATACCAGAATGTGTTCATCAAATATTTATACTGTTCTAAAAGCTTAATGGAGAAATTTCAATAGTTTACAATTTATTGAAGGCTTTCAATTAATACAGTCATCTGATATAAAACGGAAAAAACTTCAGGGCATATTTTGTGTTTAAAAATAGCTTTTTTCTAGGTAAATATTTGATGTCTGGTGAAAAGAGCAATAAATGAATCGGTAATAAATTGTTTTTCCTGGCAATATCATGCATGAATACAACAAGTTTAAACAGTTTTTATTTGGCAATACACCAGAGGTGATGGAACTTCTTAAATTCTCGGAAACTTGTCAAACCTGACACCAAATTTGTGATCTGCTTGGCAATATTTCAGATGTTTTTTAAGATGAGAGGGCTGTAAAGGTATATTATAAAGGGTAATATCTGATTAAATCATATTTTGTTGTAAAATTTAAAATGAATTTTAATTTCAAAGTGGATAAGTCTACAATGAGCTCATTTTCCATAAGTATTTAAAATACATGTAATATATCAAACAGTAGAAATGTATAATTTGGATATTCTTATAAAATATTTCTTGAAAAAAAAAATGTTGATGAAGTTCTAAGTGATTAAGTATGAACTATGATGAAAAATAAAGTATTTTGTTCTGCTTTAAGTAACTTAGCCATTTCATTTGATTTTTGTGATGACTGTTTAAGTAAAGAATGGTGACCTGCAGGATGTCCTAAATACTGCTGACGT